AATACTACATTTATATTTCTCTTATAGATTTTTTCTATAAAGATCACGTATATTACTCATTCAAAAATAAATAAATAAAATTTCTTTCTCTCATTTGTGCCAGACTTATCAAAAGATTTTTAAAAAATCAGAAACTGTTACACAGTCAGTTGACAACAGAAAGACTATTTATTTGGTATTGTATCACACTGAGCAGTCGTGATATGGCACAGCTTTAGATGTTTGAATAAAAAACTAAGCAAGATGCATGTGGTACAGTTTCCAAAAAAAGAAAAATACCAATATTTGTAGATCTTCAAATTGTGAAGACAAAATTTATCTCCATTTAACAAAAGGCTAATTTTTCCAATCATCTTTATTCTCCTTAAATAAATGTATTTCTATTTTTTGCCTTATTCTGCAAGATCCAAACTGAAATATTTGCATGAGGGATTCTTTACTGTTTCAACTTCTACATTTTTTAAAATGTGAAAATCCACGAAACTTGCAAATAACCATTTTAAAATACTTTTATCAATAGGGGCTAAATTGTTGTATATTTGATTACTCCTGTAATTATAGTACTCCAAAACATCTATTTGTTATCCAGTGACATATAATTGGTGATTTTCAAGAGTTTTTCCCTTGCATCATTAAAACTATATTTCTTACTTTAATCCAAAGAGGAATAGAGGCCCAAAATGTTGTAGGATTTATAGGAAATTTAATCCATTCGTACATTTAGCAATCAGAAGACAATAGCCTTTCATTGTAATTTTCTCAAAATTTCAATATTCTATTTATATCCAACCTTTTCTTGCAATTTATTAATACTTAGTTGAGTCTAAATGTTTGAGGAAGTTCTAGAAATTCAGTAAATGATATTTTCTTAGTGCCTGCTTTCTGTTCAATTGCTAGATTGTGTTGGGGAGAAAAGAAATGCTAAGAACTTGAAGAAAATGTTACTATCTGATCATGATATGTTAAAGCACACATTTCTCTCTTTTCCATATGAAATTATGGTGATGGCTGCTGGCAGAAAAACTTATCAAGTACTCAACAACCTGGGACTCATTGGGTCATCCTTTGAGAGAAAGGTAGTGCAGTCCGATGTGACCATAATGAACATTAAATTTTCCTGAATTGTATTGCTATCACTTTGCTCTGAAAATGACCATGGGCAGACAAAAAAGCAATGGGAGCAAGAATGACATCCGACTTCCTGCTGGCTTCCCCATTGACTTTGCTTGTGGGAAGCTAGGAGGAAGTGTAGGAAATCATGGTCATGTGACTGCAGGGATGCTGCAATGGCCACAACTTTGCAAATAAAAGCAGTCTGAACATCCTGGAAATTTCAGTTCCACAGGAGTAATGGGTCCCAGAAGGGGGGACGCGGTGGCGCAGCGGCTTAATGACGCTGAACGTTGCCGGCCAGAAATGTTCGACGCTTCGGCGGTTCGAGTCCAGCCTTCGC